CCTATAGTTATTGCTGACTCGTATAGTTGGGGTTGGCTCCTATAGTTGGGGTCGACTCCTATAGTTATTGCTGACTCGTATAGTTGGGGTCGACTCCTATAGTTATTGCTGACTCCTATAGTTGGGGTTGGCTCCTACAGTTGGGACTGGCTCCTATAGTTGGGGTTGGCTCCTATAGTTAAAGCTGACTCCTATAGTTGGGGTTGGCTCCTACAGTTGGGGTCGGCTCCTATAGTTATTGCTGACTCGTATAGTTGGGGTCGACTCTTATAGTTATTGCTGACTCGTATAGTTGGGGTCGGCTCCTATAGTTATTGCTGACTCGTATAGTTGGGGTCGACTCCTATAGTTATAGCTCTTATAGCTGTGACTGTTGTGCGTTCCAGCCTCAGTCCTGAGTGACCAGTGAGTCGTGACGTCACTTTGCAGCCATTTGTAAAAACCAGATTATTTTCTTGTGCGCAGCTTGTAATCTGAACCGGTAATCTGAGCCGTGTCGAGTCAGTGTTGCTGCCCGTCTAGTCTTGTTCGCCTCGGCAGCCACCCCCATTTCTATGATTGAATCTAGTTCCTTTAAACAAAGACGGGCAGACATGGACCAGTCTTTAAATGATTAAACATCCGTTGAACGTTCGTCTCAGATGTTTCCTGCCTGCAGGAGTCAAGAGACGAGTTCGACACAGAGAAGGAGCTGAAATATCATTTTATCAGATAATATATTAACTTAATGAAAAGTCTAAATATATGTATCCTGTTTTGATATTTAGAATGATATTGTGTTAAAACATGTAGTTTCAGCTACATGCCTACAACTCCCAACATTCACGCACCCACCCATTATAGAACACAAGATGGTGAGATATTATTGGTTGAGAGCTGGGTCACATGATAAGAGTAGGACTTCCCATTCGTTGATGGTGGTGATGACTCCAGGAGGCGTGGCCGAGCTCTGAAGAAGATGTGTTGTCTGTTTACGTTCGGGGCCATTTGTTCGAGACCACATGGTGGAGTTACAATGGTCCAGGGCTGTGATCTTGTACTTTACATGTAAAATAAACCTTCTGAAGTGGAAGACAAGCGCTCCTCCTCTCCCTGCTCCAGATCAGAACTCATTCTTTCAGAGCCCAGAGTTGATTTGTGGCACAGATTTTGTTTTTGAAACACTTTGGAGACTCGCTCACCGACAGTCTCACATCACCTTAAAATTAAATCCCTTTAAGTTGTAACACCAACGTGTCAAACGCTTCAAAGAGCAGGAACCGTCACATGTTACTCCGTGTGCTGAATACTGACCACAGCAGTGAACTGGTGAAATTCTGGCTGGAGGTCTGATCCCCTGAGGTGGATATAAGCTCCTTTGTTTCCCATCTGATCACTGCAGAAAAACAAGGAAGCAACAGTCAGTCTGCAGCAACACAGTCTGTTTGTCTCTCAGTTAACAGAAACACAACAAAACACGATTTAATTTAAAAAAAACTGCTGTGACTGGAGTATAAATCCCAGTTCTGTGTGCTGCTGGAGTATAAATCCCA